TTTGTTTGTTAAATGCCCATAGATATTTTACATAGGGGAAACAAGGATTCCTACCCGTGTTGTATAAATAGTCTATGAAGAGGCAGATCATACATTAACTTCTTAACCAGTCTCTGGAAAGTTTGCCTGGTATGTAAGACATGGTACTGAGACCTGGTTGATGATTACCTCATATGCAGTAAATCTGGTAAATGAATAAAAGTTGCAAATCGAGGTAAAGAGGCTGTCACTTTAACTTTGCCAAATGTTAACTTAAATTGGTGCTGCTACTTACGAATCTAACAAGTTCTTATTTTTAGATATGAACTGTGAAGTTGAATTTAAATTAGAGATTATACATAAATAGACATTAAATGAGTTTCTGTTAGCATGAGGAAGATGGAGGTGTATTTGAGCCAGAAGCAACTTTACTTCACCACTAGGGTGGTGGGGATTTCCATAAGTTAAATCCATGGGTAATCTAAGAGTGAATTGGGTAGAATTCTAGAATCAATGCTCCTTGAATTATGCAGTTTGCAATATGTTGAGTATCAAAGGGAAGAAATAATTGTGTGGGCAGGTAAGTTGCATTTTTTTTTAATTATTATTATTATTATTAATTTTTTTTTTTTTTGCATTATACAAAACAATCACCACTGGCTAGGGGGTTCCAAGTTTCTGTACTCCCACACTGCTTAGCCACTCCCCTCTACCTCTTGGCTGTGTCTTCCAAATATAGCCTCAAATTTTTAGCTCTTTCAAGTAACAAATTTGGAAGGGTTAATGCTACATGATCTATTGCCTGATCTAAGTTTGTGCAAGGTCTGTGATGTGTGGTTCTTAACTCATATAGGGTCTGCTTAGATATGTCACTGCTATTCTGCACTCTGAAGTCATGTTTTTGGTAAAATCAGGATAGCTCTGTAGGTTGCACTCCTAGTTTCTGATATACTTATTATCTGTAAGAAGTCTGAACCCTCATTCTTTAGGCCAGATGTTCTGCATCAGTCTGAGTTGGTGGCCATTTCAGAGAACCAGTTTGTTTTTATGTTGCTGGGATGGAGGTTGGGTGGAGGTGTTTCCCTAACCAGCTGTATTCCATGCTTAATTACAGGTCCTGTCCAGTCTTTTAGGTATCTGAGGGGGTATGCTTTGGTGCAATTATTTTATATTCTTCTGCAACATTAGTTTACATTTTTGGAATCTACAGTATTTCTCTTCTTCGCCTTCTCTCCTGCACGCCTCTCTTGTAAAAATGTAAGTATTTAGTTTAATGATGGAGTCCTAACAGGAGAGGTTTTTATTTAGTAAGGCTTGTGTTGTACACTTTGCTGTCAGTCCTGCTGTCTATTGCCTGCTTTCTGCATCTTGATCTATTCTGTTCCTCTATACTCTTTCCTTAATAGAAAAGTAGAGTAAATTAGTTGTGCAATATAGTCCCACTGAATGCTATTCCTTTTTAAATAAATGTAAGAGTTTCAGTAGGGCACTTTACAGGTCGTATGGAGAACAGCTAAATTGTGACAGATTTTTCTTTTTGGAATGTTTTAGCATTAAACTAAATATACACAGTATTTACAATCCTCCTCAGGACTTTATATATATATATATATATATATATATA